AAGTTTAATCAGGTCTTTTGAATGAGAACAACTGGATCATGCACCTTATAGTCCAGACCTTGTATCGAGTAATTTTCACTTGTTTCGGTACTTATATTAAGTAGTTCTTTGCTAGTCAATGGTTCAACAATGACAAACAAGTGAAAATTGCAGTTATGGATTCAGCTTCTACATAGGTGGTAGATTTGTTTAATGTCAGAATTTTAAAAAAACTTATTGAATGGTACGACAAATTTTTGAATAAAAATGGAAGTTATGTAAAAAAGTAGATGAAAGTACATAGAATATGAAAAAAAATTAATTATATTTGTTGTATTTTTCATCTTGTTAAAAAATGGACCTTAGTTAAAAAAATATCCCTCATCAAATTAGCTAACTAATTGATATTCAGTTAGAAATATAAAAGACCTAAAACTATCTTTCACACTGTTACAGGTCAACTCTGATTTTTTAAATTTTACAGCACTTTGTGCTCAAGTGACTCCTTAGTAGTCATACTCTACAAAATAACCCAATGGGTAGCAATATTGAAATTCTACCCTCTACAGGAATTTTGATTGCTAGTGGATTTTTATTGTCAATGTTTTCAATATTGTTTATCATTTTAAAAAAACCTTTCATTAGCACATTTAATCTTAATTTAAAGCTAATAACATCTTTAGTTCCCTTTCTGAGCCCTTAGGTACAGCTACAAAGTCTCTTAACAACTTTTAACAGTTTAATTGCTTGGAAATGGAACAACTTACATCTTTGGTACTGGTCACACTTTCACACACAAGATTCAAAGCTTTTATGAAAAGTGACATAATTTACACAACTGTAGTGCCGGGTCCTTTAAAACTGGAACTCTGAAAAGAAGTAGTGCCCTCTAGGTGGAAAAAGAGTAAGTTGGAGACTGACTTTTGGCAGGAGAGGCCAAATGCTCAGTGTGATAATTTTAGACTTTAAACCATTCTATCAATTGATATTTTCTATCTGTACAAAATTTATATAGTTTACGTTGTGCATGTGAATAAATTAATAAGGTTAATCCGAGCCCATTAATTGCAGGCAAGACACCACCATGGTCATGGCTGGTTCCTACAGCAACCATTACATGTGCACCACTGGTTCCTCTGGTTGATAGTCCTCCAACTGTGGGCAAATGTAATTAATCACTGTATTGAGTTGAACACGAGCTGTGATTGTTTTTCACTGATGAAAAATGATACCAAAATCTTCTCATGTGGAATCCAACACCAAACATTCACTCTCAAGACGTCCTGTTTCAAATACATATTGACATGAGGATTTTCAGATCACTAAATCCTCACATTATACATATATTAAACCACAACAAAATGTTAGGAAAACACTTTTAATATGTATAAAAACACACAAAAAATTATAGCACTACCTTTAATAAGGGGCTCACAATAATATGATATAGTTGTTCAGGGACATTTCTTATAATTTTTTACTCAGTCTCAGAAAAAAGAATAATTCCTTTTGAATCTTTACAGTATTTATTTCTTATGTCATAACATAAACACAAGAGAAAGAATGAAACATCTAATCTCAATGATGTTCCAAGAGATGAAAGAAAATGGTAAAATAAATCCTAAATTGCAAGCACTGTGGTCATATAAAAGAGGAAAAAATTTGAATGTGTGCTTATACATGCATACATATAAACTTAAATAACCTTAAGCAAAGAAAAAAATTAAGTTAAAAAAAATAAAAGCCCAAATTATTACTGTAACTTGAATTAATTCAGTGGCAATGCTTATTTAAATTTCAAATAATAATCAAAGTAAATTCAAATATCATATTCAATTCTGGAATAATAAATTGACATTTCCCCCCTAGAAATGGAAATTAAAAATAACTAGAGAATGACAGCTATTACAAAACTCCAGACATACAAATCCAAAACTCATGCAAAATTATTACATACATTAGATAAGTGCAAAAATAATAAAAGCAATTGAATTTTAAATCTCCCAATACATCTTCAACGGGGGTTTGGTGTAATGAGAGACAAAGAAAAAGCCCGTTTCCGAACGACAAATGAAGAAGTATAAAAAATTAAATCTGGAAAACATGAATTAAATCAAAAATTTTTAAAGTAGTCTTTCAAAACTAGAATCCAGTGCTGATTTTACATAAAGTAATTAATGCAATTTAAATTAAAACTGTCAGGATACAATTTTTGGGAAAAAGTCAAGTTCACTAAAAAAATAAAGAAACAAATTTCTTAAAGACAATGGATAAAATTAATAATTAATTACTTACTAATTACTTAGCTCGATTATTTATTGATTAATTTTTCTAGAATGTAAATATTATATTATATATATATATATATATTGCTTTCCCTTTAATTTCAAATCTAATTTGGTTCGTTTTTGTTAGGTATCTCTAGCATTTATTTTGAAAGTAGCTTCAGTAACATAGTTTATAATTTGCAATTTTAGATTTCCTAAAGGGTGTGGGCGGTATTAATCTCTATTTTTTTAATGCACTCATTATTAAAAATAGAAAAAAAAAGTATTTCCAAATTATTGAGAAAGACAGGAATGCTTATTTTTAAGATTATTTAACTGCTGACCGATGGAATAATTTTAGATTACACCCCCTAAATTAATTTAAAATCATTTAATAAGCAACAAAGTTACTTATTTAATTTTAAAGCATTTACTTGTAACATTCCCTCACCTTCATTAATTTTAACCACATAGGCTTCATTTTATTTTTTTTTCCCTTTATTTTTTCAACATAATTTGGTTTTTACCAAAATAGAATTTACAGAAATGGATGATTTAATATTTTTTTTCCTCGTCAACAGCCAACACAGACTAGATGACACAGTAGGCAAGCCTGCTCCTGAAGAACTTTGCATTTTAAAGATATTTTAGAAAGAAAAGCAGTGAAAGCAGTCTAGACAGAAAGGAAAGCAACCAGAGAGGGAATGCAATGAGCCCAAAGCTGGATTAAAACTTTTAAAGGAGCTCTAAGTACTTAAAAGATTTTGGTACCTTGCATACTTTTATGCTAATTTTTTCTTCATTCCTAGTCTGTCTCAGTTTTGTTTTAGCTGCATCATGCATTCCATGGTAAAAACACCAATGGAACACTTTTCTGGTGCCCCTTTCCTTGATGCCCTATAAGCACATGCTTACATTGCTTAGACCTGAATGTGCCCAACATGAAATGCTTGTTCAAAAGAAATCAGTTGCAGTTCAAATTAATTCCAGTCTGTTAAAATGCTATGCATGACTTACGAGTACTATTTTTAGAGCATAAAGGAAAAATAACTCTCTCTCAAAATATTTAAATTAGCAATATAGCAATGCAACAAATGCATAAAATATACCTATAATAATATAAATATGAAATAAGCTCAACAATTTGTTTACTCCATTTCTTGCACTTTATCCAGAAGAAAAAGAAAAAATAGGTTTGGGGACGTACTTATGGTAAGAAAAGAAAAAAATAGGTCTACGTACTTATGGATTAGCCCACTGACTATGAACGCTGGCAGAGATCCTACCAAAGTTGTAACAATTGGAACTATAGAATTCTGAAGAAACAAACACTTCTTTAGTTAACAAACTATCAGTATTTGACTTGCTTCATTAAAAGGCTTTTGTTGTTTTCAACTATTTGTTAGGTCTTCTGTTACACTGGAAGCAATACAAATACAGTCAAAAGTCGTTAATCCGGACTCGTCGGGACTTCGGCGATTCCGGATTATAGATCATCAGTTTAAATCTCGTAAGATGGCATGCGGAAATTCTAAAATTAAAAATATGAAACCGTAATTTATGAAATAAAGAACAATTATGATCTAAAGGGTATCAAAATTTACAAAAAAAAAAAAAGCTTAATACTTATTTGTTTACTTTATTAAACATTTCTCTCAATGTAAGTTGTTTAAGTTGCTTCATTTTATGTGATAATACTTTCTCTTTAATTCTATAAAAAGACATAATTTCTTGTTCAGTTACAAAGTTCTGCTGTTCAAGTCCCGTTAATTGCTGTGCGGAGAATACTGACTAACTTGTCAATCGAAATTTTTTCGTTTTCACTAACCTCTCTGTCACATTCTTCATGTCTTTATTTATCCATTTTTTTTTTGCAGCAATTCCACTTTTTGTTTGTTGGACATCGAAACATACTTTCGTTTTGTAGATCCTTTGGAAGTTCCAGCATCGGAAATTCTATTTGACATAATCGAAAGTTCAAGTTTACTTTTATAAAATTGCTCTTACAGTCTGCAAAAAATAATAAGCGGGATCCAATTCGAAGATTAAGGAACAATGCAGTCATTAACATTAACTGAAATAGATAATTAGATAATTTTAGCTTACACCGTCCGTTATACATTAAACGCGCAGGCGAAAACGTATTCTGCAGTTGCGCACACGCATATGCGCCGTGGTCAAGGTCTTACGCGCACGCGTAAAACGCCTGTGCGCATGTGCCAACGCGGCGCATGCGCAGAAGGTTTTTAGCTTTGAGGTCCGGATTATGGGTGTCCAAATTAACGACTTTTGACTGTACAAACTTTCCTTAGCTAATTGTTCAAATCTACTTGTATTACTAATTTGTTGTCCAAATTAAGTTAACACTATTGTTTTCATTTAAATTTGAATCCTTATTTATTAACACAAAATAAGCATACCGAGAATGAACTGGGGTTACATCAAAAGAAAGTACAGATGCCATGAGTATGTCGTGATGTCACACTTAACTATAAATAGTGCGAAATCGTGCTGATTGGCAATAGTTTTATGGGCCATGGGATAATACATTAATATCGAAACCTATTGTTTCCTGCTCTGGAAAAAAAAATCAGCAACCCTTTTTCTAAGCAATCTTGATCAGTAGCAAGCATAAATTTGTTAAAGTGAATTAAATATTATCAAATCCTCAAATTTCATCACTAAACTTATTCAATTTTTAAATAATGAAGAAAAGATAAAAATTTTTGAAGAATATAATATTACGTCACTTACCTTGGCAGCCTCTTCCTCTTCATCAGAAACAACTTTTAGAGCTTTTAACCTTTTCAGCATATTATCAGCAGCCTGACGTTTTGCCAGCCTTTTGCTTTTGCCTTCCCCTAAAAGATAAATTATTCCACTTACTTCAATTAAACAATATTAAAAGTTCTCACACATTTTCTGTTACTGCAGATTTTTGCTCTAAAATATTCTGAACAATAATAGAAAGTTCTCTCTTTTGCCCTAAACTATGTTAAACTACACAAGCTCTGATGTAATGTTTCCCTGCTGCATATTTTTGCCTTAAAATACGTTAAACTACATCAAAAAGTTACAATACTACATTCTTTGCTATTACAGATTTTTGCCATAATGTATGTTCTAAATCAAGATCTCAGTCAGGATGAATTCCTCCTCCTTCCCCCGGGACAGGAATCTTAGTTTCAGGGGGAATACTGTCTTTTATTTACCTGTTAAGAAGTAAGTAATACAAAGAAATACTTTTATCCAAATAATGGTATTTATACACACTTTCTACAGTTCTTGTTTAATTTATGAAAACATTAAAAAATATTTTTGAACATATACCAATTTATTGATATTTGTTTCATTTCTGTTTTGAATGCTTTAAATTAAATTCATTTGCATCAAAATTATGCACAAATTCAGTCATTGCTAAATTGCTAAAACGATAATTGTAATTTGGGGGGGGGTCAAAATGGTAGATTATAGCACGTGCAGAGTTAGCAGATACAGATTAATAGATTAGAGCAGGTGCAGAAATTCTTGAGTAAGTTAACAAGATGGATTTCTTCAACCTGTCAATACGAATTAGGGAATAATAATATGGTTATTTGTATGCAAGTGTTTTTTTTTTTTTTTTTGGTATTCTACTGCAATACTGAAATCCAGAAGAATGCAGAGTATTCATCTAGTATGTAATTTACCAGTTTAGTAACTTAGTTATTTCATAGATGGTAAAAGTTTCAAGTGGTAAAAGGTCTTACGCGCACGCGTAAACGCCTATGCGCATGTGTCAACGCGGCGCATGCGCAGAAAGTTTTTAGCTTTGAGGTCCGGATTATGGGTGTCTGAATTAACGACTTTTGACTGTATTCTGTTATTCATCAAAACTCTATATCCAACTTCTGTATATCCAAGTAAAATTCCAAATTCAGCTCTTTTATCCCACTTAGATTTTCTCTTTTCTTCTGGTACTCTTACATACACTCTACTTCCGTATACTTTCAATTCATTAGCAGATGGTTTCCTATTGAAAAATATTTCATATGGTGTCTTCTTTACAACAGTATTTGTTAATGTCTTGTTTTTCAAATAAGCAGCAGCTTTAATTACTTCAGGCCAGTAACGTCTGTCAACTTTTGCTTCGGCTAAAAGACATATTGCCATATCCATTCAGTTATGTTTGTAACGCTCAGCAGTACCATTAATTCGTAATACATGGTGGGCATGACTTATCTTTAAAACCCTTTTCTCTTGCAAATTTGTATATCTTGATATTCATATATTCACTACCATTTCAACATCTTAGTTCTTTGATAGTCTTCCCTGTTAAATTTTGAATTTCATTTACATATTCAATTAAGCAATCAGAGACTTGATCCTTAGATTTGATACAATAAATTTTTGCCAACTTGCTATAATCATCAATAAAACTCACAAAGTATTTCTCACCATTACATCCACTTGTTCTGTGAGGTCCATTTACATCTGTGTGTATAATCTCCAGAATATCTTCTGCTTTTCTTTCTATTATTCTTGAATGGTAAATTGTAGCATTTTATTTTCAGTACATATGGCACACTTCATATATTTGGTTTTTATTTCTATTCTATATAGGATTCCTTCTAATAGCTTTATCTCTTGCACATAATATCCAGATATTTAAAATTTACATGTCCAAGTTAACAGGTGCAATTTTTCCTTTTAACATTAACTTTACTGTTGGTCAAATTTGCAAACATTTTACTATTTTTAACATAACTCTTTACTTTATATTATCTTTCTTCTTTTCTTCGCTATTGCTACTAATGAACCATTGACATCATAAATTTTAGAGAACTTTTCTTTTGAAACTATTTTATGATTTATCAGTAATCTTCGAATAACTTAATAAATTTGCTTTCATTTCTTTTACATAAAATACATTCTTCTTCAATATTACGATAGATTCAGAGTTATATACAGGAAAAGAAACTATTATACTGCCAACGTTTGTAGCTTTCAAAATCCTTCCGTCACCGACTTTCACTTGAATAGGATGCCTTCAAAATGACTTGCCCCTGTTTGAAATATTCATCACTGTTTATAATGTGGTCTGTGCATTCGCTACTATTAACCAATTGATTTCATTTTTATTCATCACAGTATTTGCACTGGTACTTGACATGTTACTTTTGATAACAGTGGTGTAAAAACTATTGCCTTGATGACTGTTTATTCTGTGGTTAGAGTATGCTCCGCGTCCATGATGTTCCACTAAAAGCACGAATACCTTCTCGATTGTTTGAAGCAAACTTCGACAATGATAATTAGTGGAGCCATTACCACGATAGTACCTAAATGGACATTCCAACAATTCTTTTTAATGTGACCAGGTTTTCCACAATTATAACAGACATTCCCTTATAGACCCGATTTGCTTGTTTCAATTATGAACGCATTTGATTTTTCTGCTGGTGCACAATCTTCATAATCATTTTCTCTTCAAGTAATTTTGATTTGATTTTGCTCTTTAGGTAATCGACTGTTCTGTCCTTCTCTGGTAATACATCTATTAAGTCACCAATGTGACTGTAATTTGAAGGTAATGCTCTTAGCATATATGCAATTTTTCTTGTTCCGTAACGGTGGCGCCGGCATGTTTCAGTTTCGTTCACATACTTCTCAAAATCATCGAAAAATATATTTACATCAGGATAATTTTTCAGTATCACACATTCTAAGTTATTTCGACAAACAATTTGTAGGGATGTTGAAGTTTAAATACATTGCATCAAATTTCGTAATTATATCAAATGCAGTCTCACACTCGTGAATATATTCCAATTGCTTGTTTGTTATGGCACCGTAAATGTAATTTGTAGCTTTTAACACTTTTTAAACTGAAGAAATTTCATCATACGCACTTTCCAATTAAAATAGTCCGAACCATCAAATAGCGGGATGTCGATATCACTGCATCTTGTACATGCCATTTTTACGCTAGTACCGGTAACTTTTAAAACAAATTATAACTACTAAATTCTTCATTCATATTCACAAACCACAAGAACTGCTACCATGTTAAATAAATCGATATCATATGAAGAAGCAAGTCAAAAAATAAGAAACGTATCTTTTCACATTTTTTATTGAAACTTAACAACACGTGCACAACATTACAACGGAATCCACAGCTCGCACGCAGAGAGAGAACTTGGTGTTGCCAATATGGTAAATATAAATGTACCAAACTAACAATATTCGCAGCCGTAAAGTGCCATTTCTGCGCATGCGTCAAGCGACGCATGCACAGAAAGTTTGTAGCTTTGAGGTCCGGATTATAGATTATTCCGAAATTATGGGTGTCCAAATTAACGACTTTTGACTGTACCATTAATTTAAGTTATTTAAAAAAAGCTGCCAAAATAAAATCATTACGAAACAACAGAAAAGTAGGGTTCCTAGGAGGAAATCATTATCTAACACAGAAATCACCAAATTTGATGTGGCCTTCATTTCTCACTTTACCCAATTAAAATTTCAAGAGTATCATTATTATTCAATAGTAATAGCTTCATGAAATGGAAAATTCAATAGCTTCATACTCAGATTAAACCTCGTGCATAAAACTACTTTGCTATAATAATAATACTGGTTACTTGGTTACTGCAGTTAATATTAGACCGAGCGAAAAACCAGTTACTTAAAATTTTTTTGGAGCTAAAACACAAGTTTGGTCATAATGTTAAGATTTGTTTCCAATGCAGCATCTATGGAATGTAGATGGCTAGTGCCAGACTGCTTTGCATCAGCACTTGAAACAGAAGATAAACTGCACATAATGGTGGAAACAATACAGCATGCATACCTCTAAACACAGCTTATAGCCACTAATTGAATCTGTATCAAAAGGAGCTTCTGCATAACCATACAAGGTGGTTCTACTGCCAGCTGACCACACTATAGATTTGAATAGATAAGTACATCACTGTTGTATTTTTCACTTTCAAAATTAGCTTACTTTTGCATGAATAACTCCTATTTTCTAGTTAAACAGTGAATTCACTTAGCAATCAAAATTGGAAAACCTAATCTCTCGATCTGTAACCATTCGGTGGTCACATTAATGAGGACGTACCAAAAAAGTCAAGTCCAAAAATTACAATGTAAAACATGCACACAAAATTGAAACACATTAAATTAAAATATGAGTTTAGACAAACCTGATGTTGTATGATTGTCAACTACACACATGATAGAAAAAACCTTCTCATGTGGAAGACCGGTAGCCTTTTCTGTTTCATAATAAGGTGGCTGCCATTTTCTTTTCATACAAAGTTCTTGTAATGCACCTACTGGATTACCCTCAACATTTTCTTCAGCTGCAGGCACTGCTGCTGGTTCACTAAATGTAAAATAAATAATTTTATCACAGATAAATAACAAAATAAGAACATAATTTTTTAATAATTTCCCAGACAACTTAATTATATGAAAATAAACTTCATTTCAGTAAAAATAATTTGCATTATTGAAATGCATAATTCATCATTAAATTTAACAACCTGACAAGGTATTATAAAATAAAATTTCTACGCTATTTCAAAGAATTGTGGCTAAAGGAACATAAATTCCATAGTCATTTCTTATACTTCATTCTTCTATACTGTTTTAACTATTTAGAATGATTTTGCATGCTTCAACCAAAATTTTACAAAAGTATATACCCTTTCAGTCCTTTCTACTTTTTGCCAAAATGTTGAAAAACTTATTTTATCGAAGCTAGTCGATTACAACTATTTTTTAAGGAAATATTAAATTATACCTAAGACAATTATTGTTTAGACAAACAAAATCTTTTATTTAAGCAGAATGGTGAGAAACAGAAGCATAATACTTCTGAAATGTCATCTTGAAGTAAAAAAAGGCAATCAACTCAAAAGATTTTTTAAGTGACACAAAAATGAATCAATACTTGCTAATTAATATGACCTGTTTCAATTATTATGCTCATTCATAATCCTCAGAGCAATATTTCTCCATAGGTCTTTGATAACTATATCATATGTCTTTATCATGTTACTGCCTTCTTAGGCATCATTCTAAGGACACATAGATGCATCAATAACACTCTTGTGATAAATACTTTACCAAACATAGTGTGGCTGAAGCTAGATTGATATAGTAAATTAAATTGCAGTTCCTAACAAACTTTTACAACCATTAAGTATTATAAAATATTTTATTTGAGTATTGTTATAAATATGTATTATTGGTTTTTATATTTCATAATGACAAAGAATGTGAGGGCTACATGCCTAAGTGGGAAGACACCTTTGTGGAGGACTTATTAAGGAAAACTGGTTCATATCCTATGGGGAAAGCTGCAAAATGTCCCTGCAGCCAGCTTGCTTGCTGGGATTAAAACACAGGTCAAAATAATTTGTTATTAATTTATAGATAAAAAATAACATATTTTTCTGAACTTTTTATAAAGCAATAAATACAGCAAAGCCTGTTCTAATATGGGTACTGCTGTATTGTTATTTTCCCATATAGATTTTTTCATTAGCCGGACTTATTTATATCTTAAAAGTTTCAAAACATCTCATCCATACAAATCCTTTTTCTCTGTTCTTACTTGAGGGAGAAATTTTAGTTGTTGTACCTAATTGACGTAGTGAAACAAAATGCTCGGATGCTGGTGAAACCAATAACTGTGCAATAATGAAAGCAGAAACTACAGGAAACAAGCACTCAAAATAAGAGGAAATAATCATTCAAATAATTATACAGGATTTAAAAAAGAAATATCAAATTCTGGAAAAAAAAAACTGTGCATTCTTCAAAAGGAATTTATAACTGTGCATCAGTCAAAATAAATATTCTTTTGGTGTTTCAAAATAAAACTGAGGAGCTAAAATTACCCTATGCTGAAAAAGTAAGCAATAAATAAAGTTATCATAATGCACAAACATATGGTGCACTAATATCTTTTTAACTACTGTATTTATTTTTGAAAGACAATTATACTTTTAAAAAGAGTGGTAATAAAATAGTTATATTTCTAAAGCACAAGTTACTAACATTTTTCATATCTAACACCCCTAAAAATTTTTAACATGCTCTCGTATCACGTAAACTGCTTAAGAAAATTAGAGGTCTTTATGACCCATCCATTTTAGAAATTGGCCACCCCCCCCAAAAAAAAAGGACCAAAACTTACTTTGGAAGAAGTTTGAAAGAATAGATTGCTCTTTATTTAATCAGATAATAAACAGATACAAGCTACAGATAAAGCTAAAAAAAAAATCTTATATAAATATGAGCTCAAGTTTTTAGATTATCCAATATACAAATTCATTAAAACTATAGCTAATGGTTTAGGTGGCTGAAATTCCCTTAACTGCTTAAGACGTGTTTAAACGTTTTCGGAGTTTCCTTTAAAAACGTCTTTACATGAATTTCAAATTGCACGAAAAATGTTTAAGACGTGTATACACAAAGCCCAAATTTCGCGAAAATTGCTTAAGACGTGTTTAGATGATGCGATCTGGTCTTCCTTCCCCTACCTTTCTGCAGGCGGCTGTCAATTGACACAAAGATCTTAATAGGGTATGAAGTCTGAAAAGAACACTTTACAGAAAGTCTTGAGAGTGAAGAATCACTATCAGACAGCAGATGTGCATTATCTTTCCGACGACTGCAAGCTTGTTAATGAAGATAAATCGTTTTACAACAGTTTGCCTTGTTATTTATGCAAATGAAAGTCAAACAGAATTGCTCGTTGTTATAGTACATTACCGAAATTTAGAAGAAACAGGAAAAAATAACAATTGTAATGTAAGACATACTTTTTAATAAATCATATATTATACAATGTATTAAAAGTTGACTACAATTTCTGGTTCGTCAAGAACAGGATAAAATATAAAATGTTGCAAACACCTATCTTGTTCGCTCTCATACTTCAAGTGCGGGTGTTTATAATGGTATATTTTTCCTTTTTACGTTTTGAAATGTCAAAACTGTGCTTTCAGTATGCCTGATTTTTGTATTCGTATATGTGGCTGTGCGTTCCTTATAAACGCGAACTGACATATGAAAATTTCTTGGATGTCGAAAAGAAGATATTCTACTCGAAAACTTCAATTAAATCGAATAAATTCATATACTGAAAGAATTTCTAGAAATATTTGTTTTTAAAAACTTCAAGAAAAATTTCTAGAAATATTTTGTTTTTTTGGAAAGAAATCTGCGGGTGTAAAATCGCATAAAATTAACAGAGTGTAAGTTAAGTAAAACAGTTAGTGTATGAAAGGGTTACATATACTGTGCACAAAAAATTAGTCAGAGGAACAATTAGCTAACGAATTAAATTAATTACATTAAAAAATTTATTAGAAAAAAAACCTCTCCAAATGTCAATGCTGATAGCAGCACTACAAATGTAAGTTATTAAATTCCTAACTTAATCCGTTGGTACTCAATAATTTTGGCCCACCAGCGGCCGAGCGGTAAAGGTCGCTGTAGTTCAGTCTGAGGTTCGAATCCCACAAATGGGCTGGCTGCATGAGCGTTTTCATGGTTTTCGCCAAGTGTAACGTGTATACAAGCCAGTGTCGATTAGAAAGTCCTCCGTGAAGGCATCCCTCCTCTTAGGCAGATAGACCTCGAGGCTTTGCTGTAGTCACATAAAACCAAATCAAATTAAAAACCAATAGCTGTGTGTTTGCGATTACTTAAAAAGATTTTTGATAAAGATTCAACAAAAACCCGCAGCGACCTAGTAGAAATTGGCAGTTTGAAGCGAGTTTTAAATCCCGGCAAATGGGCTGGCTACCTGGCAGCCCATTTGTTGCCAAATAAGCCAATCTCAATTAAAAAGTCCTTCACGAAGATCTCCTCTGAGTACTATTCCTCGCTTGGCATTAGGTTTAGTTTGGTTTGTTAGATTATGATAAAACACACAAAGGGCGATCTGTCTAAAGAAAGTACCACCTTTTGTGAAAGACTTTCGAATATCTTGTACCCATGTTACATATAGGTAAATTCACGAAAATGCCCATGTGGTGAGACAGTCACAGGGGTTTCAATCCGGGTCAAACTACAATTATATTAATAGTCCTCGTATATTTTATCATAAGCTAAATAAAATAAAACACAATATCGCGAAAGTCACTTTATGCTACTAAAATGGCAATAATTTCGTATTATACAGGTCATCATTTTGCGTCTATTATGAGATTTTGCTCTTTTCCGTTACCAAGCTAGCTCCCAACGGAACACAGCTAATTCTATCCGGGGTTCAAATCCCGGCGAAAGGGCCTAGCTGCATGGATTCTTCCGTGTTTTTCTCATGTGTCATGTGTACACAAGCCGATTTCCCTTAGAAAGTCCTCCATGAAGGAATCCTTCCACTTACGTAAAATAACCCTCGAGTGCTTTGCCACAATCAAATAAACCAAACAATTACTACATAACATGCTTAAAATATTTTGTGTTTAAAAGTTTATGCAAAGTTGGCTCCCGTTAAATGAAATATACTGTTCCTTTTTTTTCTTTGCTTTTATAGCAATGTTCTGGTTTTCAGAGTGTGAATAAAACATTTTTAATAATGTGTCATTCTATTTTTTTTTTTTTTTTTTTGTTTAATGAAAAAAATGAATTTAAGCAACAAATTTCTTATGTTTAGAAAAATTTTACCATCATAGACATGAGCTGCTGTCGAAAGTGCATTTTCTTACTAGCGCATATGTTTGTATAGAGAAAATTGTTTTGCACGTGTTGTCCTATAACTGAAAAGATCCTGAGAAACTTCTGTAGGAAAATAAAATTATTAAATTTAAATAAAAAAATAAAGTTATTTGTGGATTATAGGTGTTTTGAGGTAAGCATCGAACACGAGGTATACGATGAATTTAAAATAAGGATGTATATAATAAAGATTTTGCTGCCAGGCATTCCCAGCAAAATTTGCTAAATTTTTCTATATATAGAATTAATGTATATTTCGTTTACTATATAAATTCAGTGTTATAACACTCCCCTTTATCAGTGTTATATCGAGATTTAGTTACATCCAATATATGCATTTTATTTTAGTTTTATAAAGCTGGTTTGTTTATTAGTATTATGCTTACTAAATACGATTTATCAGGTTTTCAAATCTATCAGACCCCAACCAGTGGCCTTCCTGGCTAAGACCGCTGATTACCACTAGTTCCACTTGCACTGAAACAAAAACGAACAAATTGTCTGCATGGTTGGGTTTCATTGTTTTCCCATGTGTGACATGGATATGAGTGAGTTTAACTTAGAAAGCCCACCAAGGCAACTAGTCTATCCTTTAGACAGACAGATCTCGTTTGCTCTGCCATATTCAAATAATCGAACAAAATCTGA